ACCTTAAGTTTACCTGGACCATCTCTAACACCTCTCTCCCCTTCCTGGACCTCTCTGTCTCCATATCGGGCAACCACCTAGAAACCAATATTCATTTCAAGCCCACCGACTCCCACAGCTACCTAGAATACTCCTCCTCCCACCCACCTTCCTGCAAAAATGCAATCCCCTATTCCCAATTCCTTCGCCTCCGCCGCATCTGCTCCCAGGATGAGGCATTCCACTCCCGTACATCTCAGTTGTCCTCGTTTTTCAAGGACCGTAACTTCCCCTCCTCGGTGGTCGAGAACGCCCTCAACCGTGTCTCCCACATCTCCCGCACCTCATCCCTCACACCCCGTCCACGCAATAAAAACCAAAAAAGAATCCCCCTCGTCCTCACGTACCACCCCACCAACCTCCGGATCCAACGCATCATCCTCCGACACTTCCGCCATCTGCAATCCGACCCCACCACCAAAGACATCTTTCCCTCCCCACCTTTATCTGCTTTCCGGAGGGACAACTCTCTCCGTGACTCCCTTGTCCGCTCCACGCTCCCCTCCAGCTCCACCACACCTGGCACTTTTCCCTGCAACCGCAGGAAGTGCTACACCTGCCCCCATACCTCCTCCCTCACCCCCATCCCAGGCCCCAAGAAGACTTTCCACATCAAGCAGATGTTCACCTGCACATCTGCCAATGTGGTATACTGCATCCGCTGTACCCGTTGTGGCTTCCTCTACATCGGGGAAACCAAGCGGAGACTCGGGGACCGCTTTGCAGAACACCTACGCTCGGTTCGCAACAAACAACTGCACCTCCCAGTCGCGAACCACTTCAACTCCCCCTCCCATTCCTCAGACGACATGTCCATCCTGGGCCTCCTGCAGTGCCACAACGATGCCACCCGAAGGTTGCAGGAACAGCAACTCATATTCCGCTTGGGAACCCTGCAGCCCAATGGTATCAATGTGGATTTCACAAGTTTCAAAATCTCCCCTCCCCCCACCGCATCCCAAAACCAGTCCAGCTCGTCCCTGCCTCCCTAACCTGTTCTTCCTCCCACCTATCCCCTCCTCCCACCTCAAGCCGCACCTCCATCTCCTACCGACCAACCTCATCCCGCCCCCTTGACCTGTCCGTCCTCCCTGGACTGACCTATCCCCTTCCTAACTCCCTACCTACACTCACCTTTCCTGGCCCCATCCCCGCCTCTTCGACCTGTTTGTTTCCTCTCCACCTATCCTCTCCTCTATCCCTCTTCTATCCGCCTCCCACTCTCTCCCTATTTATTTCAAAACCCCCTTCCCCTCCCCCTTTTCTGATGAAGGGTCTAGGCCCGAAACGTCAGCCTCTCTGCTCCTATGATGCTGCTTGGCCTGCTGTGTTCATCCAGCCCTGCACCTTGTTGTCTTTGTTTCATATCTTGATGCCTTTATCTACTAAAAATGTTTTGTAAACTTAAATTATCTCAATGTCCACAGCTTTATTTAAGGGTTTCAGATTTATTAGAAGTTCACTTCCTGGTTTCATTTCCGTATGGGCTAGGTCTATACATCTTTGGCCTGGAATTTCCCAACAGAGGAAATTGTTTCACTGTGTCAACCTGAACAAATCCTTTTTTGTATTTTAAAAATATCTTCCATTTAAATATTTGGGAGTACAAATCAGGTTTATGCAATCTGTTCTCCTAATTTAATCCTTTCAACTGTGAAATATTTCTGGATGATCTGTGCTGCACTGTACTCCATCCAATGGCAGTATATCTTTTCAGAAGTTTGTATTCAAAGCTTACTGGGGTGCTCCTGTTGGGATCTCACTAGGGGTTTGAATGACAAAAATACCACTTCCTAACTTCTATAATTCCTCTCCTTTTGAGATAAAAGACCAAGGGTGGGAATTCATCTGCATTAGGCTCAAGTAAGAACCAGGAGCCCGTAGTGTGGGGAACAGACACTTTCCTATGATATTTCCTAAATTGTACAGTGGGAAGCATGTGGATCTTCAATAGAAAGGCTTCCCACTTGAAAGCAGCAGTAGCATGACCTGGATGCTCACTATTTCCACCTTATTTAAACTTCCTGAAACCAAGAAAAAATAATTTTTGTGGTTAGGTTAATCACGATGGAGGGTGTGTCCCTCGATACTAGACAGGCACTAAGGGTCACTAAGCATGCTTGGAATCTTGGCACCTGATCTACAGTTGGGAAACTGCCTTTGAGCATCTGTGCTATTCCTGTGGGGCACTGGAGGTTTAGCAATCAGCATTACTGAATGTTTTATACGGGTCGCTTGGCTACCCTACTGCTTGCAGCATTGTCATCTGCCCCATTCCACCTTTGGGAAAATGGCCTCAGATTGTAATATAGGTCACCTTGCAGGACAGTGGCACTGTTTTCACTATCAGTCTGCCTCCTTGCCAAATCCTGTTAGACCCTAAATAGTTCAATCCATCATTTTATTATCCTTTCCGGTTGTGTTTTTGTTCTTGTGTGCTAGCTTTCAGTGCTTGTATTGCTGTTTAAAAAGTTATTCTGATATCTCCAAAATGGCTAATCTCCCATTTTCACCCATATAACCCTATTTGTTCTTAGTTTGCTCATGCAGTGATTTGTTTCTTTGTAAGTTGTGCTGCCCTTTTCACAACTCAATCTTTTAACCCAGTCTTATCTGCAGATTTGGATATACAGCTCTCTATTGTTCATTCAAATCATTACCATATATGATTAAAAGGTGAGACTTTAGTAAAATTTCCTGCCAAACCTCACTTGTCATACCCCACCAATCAGAGAACTTTTCCTTTCACTGTATCTCTATCTCCTGCATTGTAACTAAATGGGACCTGATGTGTATAGGTAGAACATAAGAACTAGGAGCAGGAGTAGGCCATCTGGCCCCTTGAGCCTGCCCCACCATTTAATAAGATCATGGCTGATCTTTTTGAGACTCAGCTCCACTTACCCGCCCACTCTCCATAACCCTTAATTCCTTTACTGTTCAAAAATTTATCTAGCCTTGCCTTAAAAACATTCAGCGAGGTAGCTTCAACCGCTTCACTGGGCAGGGAATTCCACAGATTCACAACCTTTTGAATGAAGAAGTTCCTCCTGACCTCAGTCCTACATCTGCTTCCCTTTATTTTGAGGCGATGCCCTCTAGTCCTAGTTTCACCTGCTAGCAGAAACAACCTCCCTGCCTCCACCTTGTCTATTCTCTTCATAATCTTATATGTTTCTATAAGATCTCCCCTCAAGGCAAGGCATTAATTATTATTTTACACCAGTCTTTGCAATGGGCTTGGTGTTGAATAATCCACCAATGGCCCATTCGCATTCTCTAAAACAAGTTGTTTTTTTTTTTAAACTATCCTCTATAAAATACTTATTAAGCTTCTCTGCCAGTTCCTCACTTTTTCAAATCCAGAATGGTCCAAAATGTTTGACCCTGTTCTTTCACGCTGTTTCCTGAACATTCTCCTACCTGTAAATGATATATTCTACCTGCTTTGTCAATCGAAGCCACATTTGGCCAGGAGGCTCACTAGTCAACAGCCCTGGGTCCATTCTAAGAAGTTTATTTTTGTATTTTCCCAGCTAACTTTAGACACCACATTATTTCAACTATTGTAATAGTTACTGCAGAAAGCCTCAGTAAATTGTCTGTAAACGTCATCCTCATTCTTTCTCACTTTGATGTATAATGTAGCATGAAACTTACTATTAACTTGTAACCCCACTTTGAGATTAGCACAGAAATCTGAAACCTGTATTATGTCGACAAGTGTAGCTGACGTGTGGGGATTATGAAGGCACCTAAGCTTAGAGATGAATGCCTGCCTGAGCTGAAACAAAAGGCTGTGGGTGCCCAGGGTGTTTATTTTGGGCAAGAGTATTTAGAAGCTTGAGGAGTATAGTTGAAGTTAGTCTCTGGCCCTGGATCAAGGCCAAATAATTCAAATTGGTTGCAGAGGGAGTTATATGTGGAGAAAGTGAAAATGAGTATGATAAATATAAGTGGTCAAGCTTGTGAAATAATAAAGGATATTGGATATAAAATAAAATGTTATCCTGTTTCAGACCAGTCCAGTTGGTGGCAGTGATTATTCTAGTTCCATAATTCAGCAGTGTTGAATGTATTATGGGTAACCATAGTCTGTTGAGATTCATTGAGTATAATTAGTGTTTTAGGAAGGAATTTCCCCAAGTTTTTGCTTTGAGCTTTTTGCCTTTCCTAGCATGTAGTATACTAGTGTTTGTAAGGATGATGGACTGTCTTAATGGAAGGTGTGAAGCATTGGCCTCATGGTATTTTCTTCTCTTCCTTTTCCTTTCTATGTAGCCCAGGAAACATTTGCCACCATGATAAAATCTCTTTTCCGTGGCAGGAATTAAATATCCTTAATGAATGAGACCTCCTTACGTTTTTGAATTTATGCAGGATGTTTATAGTTTCTAGTTTTGTTATGGTTGAAGTCAAGTTGTTAAGGTTGCCATGTCATATCCTTCCAATCTAATTAGTGAGTCTAGTTCTCCAGTCATCATTTCTCGTGCTTTCTACGCGTGTGTAGAAGAGCTGCAGTTCTGATCCTGTTAGGTTTCACAGCATTGTTTTGTTCCCATTTTTATTTCTCATCAATCTCTCTATTTGCCCCAGGTTCTATTTTCTTGTCCCTTTGGAATGACAATTTAGAATAGTGTCCCACTTCACTACACTTGTACTTAATTCTTTTATCAATGATTTGCCCCCTCCATCAGCATTGCTAGTTCAAGCATTTACATATTCTAAAAATATTTCAGTGTAGCTGAGATGAGCAGTTTCGAATGCTTATTTTATGTAATGGCTAAAGATAAATCCATACGTCTAGCAAACAGACGATCCTTAGCTCATTGTTAATTCTCACTGAAGTGGTGTTTTGGTAATTGCCTGCACTGATTTGAATTGCAGTGATGAAAATCAAGATTTGATCTGTAATGCATGGGGCAGCACAGTTATGAACTAAATGGGGGATCATGTCAAAAAATGTGATCATCTGACTAGTTACAAAGGGGGTTTCAAAAGCTTAATATGTGATTGCTTTTGGTAGTATCAAAATATTTGTCTTATGCTTCATCTGTTTTTTTCTCTTTTTTTTTTCTTTCCTGTTTCTCTTGCAGCAAATACTGGCCATTGTTTGTTCTTTTCTTTTACATTCTTTCTCCAATCCCCTACTACATAGGAAGGAGAGTAGTTGATGATACTGATGCAGCAAGCAGTGCATGTAAAGAACTTGCCATATTTCTCACTACAGGCATAGTCGTCTCAGCTTTTGGGCTGCCTATAATTTTTGCAAGAGCACAATTGGTGAGTATCGTTGCCACATTACTATACAATATGGACTCTGAACAGTTTTGCAAATGGGGGAGACAAGTAATGGTTGATATTTTTATACTATTGCAATTAGTTGCTATATTTTAAAGTGCTGACCAATATATTGGCCTGGATTTTGCAGTCAGTGATGAAGCAGTGGTATTTGCTAGGTACAATGAGAAACAAAAACTTAACTAGTTTGTTAGCTGCAGTGGGAACTTCACCTGGCTGTAGCAATGTCCACATGAAGCAATTTGAGAGGTCAATCAGCAAGATGCATTGCCACACTCCTCCCACTGTCACAAGTTGAAGACATGCCTTTTAAGGTTGGTCTTCAGCTGAAAGGCAGGTGATGGTTTACTATGGTATTAAACATATTTTTTTTTAAAGAAAACTTTTTTTTCTTTAAAACCTGTCGGGGGCAGCGTGGTGGTTCAGTGGTTAGCACTGCTCCCTCACAGTGCCAGGGACTTGAGTTCAATTCCAGCCTCGGTCGACTGTCTATGTGGAGTTTGCATATTCTCCTTTTTTTCCTGTGTGGGATTCTGGCATGTGCTGTTGTTTCCTCCCACAGTCCAAAGATGTGCAGGTTAGATGGATTGACCATACTAAATTGATAATAGTGTCCAAGATGTGCAGGCTAATTGGATTAGCCATGGGAAGTGTGGGGTTACAGGGATAGGGTGGGGGGCTTGGTCTGGTTGGGATATTCTTTAGAGGGTCAATGCAGATTTGATGGGCCAAATGGCTTCTTTCTGCAATGTGGGGATTCTATGATTCTGTTCTATGAAAATTTTAGATATGTTAAAACTTTCAACATCCAGTGGCTGCTCCTCAAGAATATCTTCGCCAAAGTGCCTTGGTTAAATGAGAGCTGAGAGTCATAGAGCTGTACAGCATGGAAACAGACTTGTTGGTCCAATTTGTCCATGTCGACCAGGTATCCTAAGTTAATATAGTCCCACTTGCCAGCATTTGTCCCATATCCGTCTAAACCCTGATGCCTTTTAAATGTTGTAATGCAGATGCCTTTTAAATGTTGTAATGTATCAGCCTCCGCCACCTCCTCTGGCAGCTCGTTCGATACATGCACCACCCTCTGTGAAAAAGCTGCCCCTTAAATCCCTTTTAAATCTTTCCCCTCTCACCTTAAACCTATGCTCTCTAGTTTTGGACTCCTGTACCCCAGGGCAAAGAGCTTGACTAATCAGCCTGTCCATGCCCCTGATGATTTTATAGGCCTCTATAAAGTCACCCCACAGCCTCGGATGGTCCAAGAAAAATAGCCCTAGCCTGTTCAGCCTCTCCCTATAGCTCAAACCCTTCAACCCTGGCAACATCCTTGTACATCTTTGTGAAACTTGAACAAGTTTCACAACATACTTCCTATATCTGGGAGACCAGAATTGCAAACACTATTCCAAAAGTGGCGTAACCAATCTCCTGTACATGACCTCGTAACTCCTATACTCAGTGCACTGAGCAGTGATAGCAAGCATACCAAACGTCGTCTTCACTATCCTGTAAACCTGGGAATCCACTTTCAACATTGAACCTGCACTCCAAGGTCTCTTTGTTCAACAACCCTCCCCAGGACATTACCATTAATTGTATGAGTCCTGCCATGATTTGCCTTTCCAAAATGCAGCAGTTCACATTTATCTAAATTAAACTCCACCTGCCACTCTTCAGCCCATCTGATCAAGGTTCCAATGTACGCTGAGATAACCTTCTTCACTGTCTACTACACCTCCAATTTTGATATCATCTGCAGACTTACTAACCATACCTCGTATGTTCACATCCAAATTGTTTGTATAAATGATGAAAAGCAGTGGACTCGGCACCGATCCTTGTGATACACCGCTGGTCACAGGCCTTCAGTCTGAGAAGCAACCCTCCACCACTACCCTCTGTCTTCTACCTTCCAGCCAGTTCTGTATTCAAATGGCTAGTTCTTCCTGTATTCCATGTGATCTAACCTTGCTAACCAGTCTACCGTGCAGAACCTTGTCGAACGCCCTACTGAAGTGAATATAAATTACGTGCGCCTCTCTGCCCTCATCAATCCTTTTTATTACTTCTTCAAAAAACTCAATCAAGTTAGTGAGACACAATTTCCCATGCACAAAGCCATGTTGACTATCCCTAATTAGTCCTTGCATTTCCAAATATATGTAAAATCCTGTCCCTCAGGATTTCAACAACTAGCCCGCCACTGATGTCAGGCTCACCAGTCTATAGCTCCCTGCTTTTCCTTACCACCTAGCTTAAATAGTGGCACCATGTTAGCCAACCTCCAGTCTTCTGGCACCTCACCTGTGGCTACTGACCATACAAATATCTCAGCAAGGGGCCCAGTAATCACTTCCCTAGCTTTCCACAGACTACTAGGGTACACCTGATCAGGTCCTGAGGATTTATCCACCTTTATGCGTTTTAAGACATCCAGCACCACTTCCTCTGTAATATGGACATTTTTCAAGATGCCACTATATATTTCCCCATGTTCTCTATCTTCCTTATCCTTCCCACAGTAAACAGTGATGCAAAATATTCATTTAGCATCTCCCCTGTCACCTGCGGTTCCACACATAGACGGCCTCGCTGATGTTTCTCTAGTTACTCTTTTGACCTTAATGTATTTGTAGAATCCCTTTGGATTCATCTTAACCCTATTTGCTAAAACTATCTCATGTCCCTTTTTTTGCCCTCTTGATTTCCCTCTTATTTATACTCCTACTGTTTTTTTACACTCTTAGCGATTCATTTGATCTCTGCTGTCTATACCTGACATATGCTTCGTTCTTTTTCTTGACCAAAACCTCAATTTCTCTAGTCACCCAGCATTCCCTAGACTTACCAGCCTTGCTCTTCACCCTAACAGAGTTATAGCTGGGGGAAAGGCAATTATGAGGCGATGAGGCAAGATTTAGGATGCATAGGATGGAGAAGGAAACTGCAGGGGCTGGGCACAATTGAAATGTGGAGCTTGTTCAAGGAACAGCTACTGCGTGTCCTTGAGAAGTATGTACCTGTCAGGCAGGGAGGAAGTGGTCGAGCGAGGGAACCGTGTTTTACTAAAGAAGTTGAATCTCTTGTCAAGAGGAAGAAGAAGGCTTATGTTGAGATGAGGCGTGAAGGCTCAGTGAGGGCGCTTGAGAGTTACAAGTTAGCCACGAAGGACCTAAAGAGAGAGCTTAAGAAGAGCCAGGTGGGGACATGAGAAGTCTTTAGCAGGTAGGATCAAGGAAAACCCTAAAGCTTTCTTATAGGTATGTCAGGAATAAAAGAATGACGAGAGTAAGATTGGGGCCGGTCAAGGACAGTAGTGGGAAGTTGTGCGTGGAGTCCGAAGAGATAGGAGAGGTGCTAAATGAATATTTTTCGTCAGTATTCACACAGGAAAAAGACAATGTAGTCGAGGAGAATACTGAGATACAGTCTATTAGACTAGACGGGATTGAGGTTCATAAGGAGGAGGTGTTAGCAATTCTGGAAGGTGTGAAAATAGATAAGTCCCCTGGGCCGGCTGGGATTTATCCTAGGATTCTCTGGGAAGCTAGAGAGGAGATTGCAGAGCCTTTGGCTTTGATCTTTATGTCGTCATTGTCTTCAGGAATAGTGCCAGAAGACTGGAGACTAGCAAATGTTGTCCCCTTGTTCAAGAAGGGGAGTAGAGACAACCCTGGTAATTATAGACCAGTGAGCCTTACTTCGGTTGTGGGTAAAGTGTTGGAAAGGATTATAAGAGATAGGATTTATAATCATCTAGAAAGGAATAATTTGATTAGGGATAGTCAACACGGTTTTGTGAAGGGTAGGTTGTGCCTCACAAACCTTATTGAGTTCTTTGAGAAGGTGACCAAACAGGAGGATGAGGGTAAAGCGGTTGATGTGGTGTATTTGGATTTCAGTAAAGCGTTTGATAAGGTTCCCCATGGTAGGCTATTGCAGAAAATACGGAGGCATGGGATTGAGGGTGATTTAGCGGTTTGGATCAGAAATTGGCTAGCTGTAAGAAGACAGAGGGTGGTGGTTGATGGGAAATGTTCATCCTGGAGTTCAGTTACTAGTGGTGTACCTCAAGGATCTGTTTTGGGGCCACTGCTGTTTGTCATTTTTATAAATGACCTGGATGAGGGCGTAGAAGGATGGGTTAGTAAATTTGCGGATGACACCAAAGTCGGTGGAGTTGTGGATAGTGCGGAAGGATGTTGCAGGTTACAGAGGGACATAGATAAGCTGCAGAGCTGGGCTGAGAGGTGGCAAACGGAGTTTAATGCGGAAAAGTGTGAGGTGATTCACTTTGGAAGGAGTAACAGGAATACAGAGTACTGGGCTAATGGTAAGATTCTTGGTAGTGTGGATGAGCAGAAAGATCTCGGTGTCCATGTGCATAGATCACTGAAAGTTGCCACCCAGGTTGATAGCGTTGTTAAGAAGGCGTACAGTATGTTAGGTTTTATTGGTAGAGGGATTGAGTTTCGGAGCCATGAGGTCATGTTGCAGCTGTACAAAGCTCTGGTGCGGCCGCACTTGGAGTATTGCGTACAGTTCTGGTCACTGCATTACAGGAAGGATGTGGAAGCATTGGAAAGGGTGCAGAGGAGATTTACCAGGATGTTGCCTGGTATGGAGGGAAGGTCTTATGAGAAAGGCTGAGGGTTTTGAGGCTGTTTTCGTTAGAGAGAAGAAGGTTAAGAGGTGACTTGATAGAGACATACAAGATGATCAGAGGATTAGATAGGGTGGACAGTGGGAGCCTTTTTCCTCGGATGGTGATGGCTAGCACGAGGGGACATAGCTTTAAATTGAGGGGTGATAGATATAAGACAGATGTCAGAGGTAGGTTCTTTACTCAGAGAGTAGTAACGGCGTGGAATGCCCTGCCTGCAAAAATAGTAGACTCGCCCACTTTAAGGGCATTTAAATGGTCATTGGATAAACATATGGATAATAATGGAATAGTTTAGGTTAGATGGGCTTCAGAT